GATTATATATTTTTAAATATGTTTTAATTAATATACGATTATGTATGTTAATTTAATAAAGGTGTAAAATGAAAAATTTAAAAGTAAAATGTGTAAAGTAAATTAATTAACTAATTATAGGGTATAAAGTGTAAATTTAAAATTATTATTTTAAAAAAATTCGTTGAATGTGAGAGAGGGTGAGTATGTGAGGGAGTGAGTTTGTGAGAGAAGGGGGTATGAATATCAACCCCCAACAAAACCCGTGCAAAACTTTTTTTTCATTTTATTTTAGTTAATTGGATTGATCGAAAGATTTCGAGGGATTTGATGGAATTAAAATGACAAATTCTTTTGATTAAATTTCAATTTTTTTATTTGGTTTATTTCTTGAAATTCTTCGAAATTCATTGAATTCCACAAATTAATGGAATGAATTGAATTATATCACTACCATACTACTATTGTTTTTGATGCCCCACCCCCCCTTCCCCTCTCACCATACCACTACTATTAATTATTCTTTTAGTTATTTATAATTGTTTTTTAAAATTATTTACAAAGAATGAAGTTCAATTACATTTAAAATCCAACAAAGCAAACATGAAAAATTCAAATCCTTCCAAAAGTACCATTCCATCAAACCAAATGTCCCCTTATTTCATATACAAAATAAAATGTCTAAAAATAATATAATATTTATTGAGTATTCTTTTTAATTCATAACTGTTTTTTTCTAAAAACAAATCAATCATAAAAAAATTTCACATATGAAATAACATTGTATAAACAATGCATTTTCACATATGTTATTTCATATATAAAACAATACATGAAAATTGCTTTGTAAGTTTGTACAAAATATTGGATTTGCAAAAGCATCTCAATTCTCCAAAAGTTTTCCGAAATGGAGAATTAAAGTTCAAAATCTCTAAAAAAAAATTACATTCAACTCCCGCAAATTCTTGATTTTAAATATTACATCATTAATTATATTATTAAAAATACTTCATACATTTAACTAAATATTATTTCTCTATGAAAAAAATTTCATTTCAAATTACCTATTGATGGAATATAATAAAAACTATTTCTCTCTGGAGGTAATAATAATTTTTGGAGATATCTCCAAATTTAGATAAGTTTACAATCTTTCTCCGATTTTGGAGCAAAAAATCACCCAAAATCTCCATTTTGGATAATTTGGTGGAGGTACTATAAAGCATTATACGTCTTTATGAGTTACGGTTTTTTATTAAATACATATCCGGAGTTAAGTGAAGAATGATTATGACTTACGAGGCAATTATCAGATAAGAAATGACAATCTTTACCAAATAATCCTACTGTAAGTGAGGATACCTAGTAATCATTTATCCAATTTGTATGATAAACTAGTGTTAAAAAGGGAAATTAATAAAAATAGTCATTTCTCTCTAATTTTTTATTACCTCCGTAAATGACACCTCCTCAATTTGCATAGGGGTCAAAATGGTAAAAAAAAAAAAAAAAAAAAAAAAAAAATTTCTGAACATAGTCTACAAGTACATGGACTAAATCTGTAAATTAGATAAAGGTGCATGTGGCACTTCATTAATTGAGGAGTTGTTACTTGAAAATGTACCAAAAGTTTTGAAATATTAGGAGAGAAATGACTAAAAAATGAATGCAAAGCTTGAAAATAAATATTTTAATTAATTAATAATTTGTTTATAAACCATAATTAATTTCATCTCTATTATCCAAACATATTAAAGAAAAATAGTATCTGAACATTTAATTAATCTCCAACACAACCAAATACAAATACTTGTTTAAGATAGAGAAATTGGATGGTAAATTTTTGCATTTTTTGAAATAAAGAAAGAATTTATTCAAAAGAAAAACCTCAATTTCTTTTTTTATTTATTATTTTCAAGAATTAAGAAATAGAATGAAGGATCCTAAAACATCAAGGCTACACTTGTAACTTTACACAAGAATTGGAATTCAAACTGGAATTGGATATATAATCACACTTCTTAATTACTGGAATAATAATAATAATAATAATAAATAAATAAATAAGAAAAAGAAATATGAACCAACCTCTTTCTTCTACTTTATATTGCATCACCTTCTTCACCATCTCTCCCTTGACTTTGTTCTGCCAAATAACATGCACCATTAGCATTTTCACCAAAAAATCATACAAATACTAAATGATTTTTTAAATAGCCATTTTTTTTCACTTCATAATCGTTTTTCTACATAATTGACTATTCAAGTTTTCACAGCTACCAGTTTAACAACTTGCGAAATTCCCTTTTTATGAATATAGTATTCATAAAGTATTAATTTCACAGGCTGCTAAAGTGTTGTTTGCGAAATCTTTACATGGAAATCCCACTTAAGCAACTATCTGTCATGTCAGCATTTCGCTAGCAGCACTTTTACAACTTCTTAAACGGTTACTTTAAGAATATTAAATTCATAGAAAGTAGCTTTCACAAGTTGTTAAAATGCTACTTGCAAAATCTTAACTATTTTAATCAACTGGGGTAGAAAAACAGCTCGCAAAGTTGCAATGTGCCGCTTAGATATCATAACTAGTATACAAACCACTTTAGATCATAAAGACTCGAGTATTTGGGTATAGATTTCTAAAATCTTCAGCCAAAATTTGATAAAAATTTTGAAACAGGAAGAAATTAACGATATACCTGCCAAGGTCTCGGTTGCCCGAAAATCCTCTGTCCCGTCCACCACCGAAACCTCTTTTCTCATCACCTGTTCGTATCCATGGATCTCTCGTGCCACGGGATCGTGGCGTCTCTGAGAAGTCGACACTTCTAGAATCATCAACGGACCCAGACTGAGAAGCTGATCTTTCACTTCTTCCACCTCCAGAACCTGGACTTTCAACAGGTTTTTGACTCAACCGGACTTTATTATCCAGATCAAGCGTTAGTTGTTCCAATTCCCGTTCTTTTTCAACTATTCTATCACGTAAACTGGTTTGCTTCTCGTTACCGGTTTCTAGAGATTCTTTGTTTGTATCTCCACCATACTCGTTTTCATAATCCCTCTTCAAAGTATCTATTTCTTCCTTCAAATTCTTTTCTGCTTCTGTCTCAGACCTTAAAAAAAGAAGATAAAACCCTTTTAGAGACTGCACAATCTAATTTACCTAGTAATCTTCCATACCAAAATCAATAAGAATCAAGATTACAAGATGACTTAAAGAAGAAAAGTAAATAAACTACAATATGCATCAAACCAAGTACCAGAATGAAGGTTTTAAAAGTACATACATAAAATAGAAATAGGACCATAGTACTCCCTTTTATTTATAACCATTTTAGGGATAGCAAGTCCTAACTGGACTTCTCTCTGATATGAAGAGTAGTGCAATATATTGATTCAAGCTTTTCTTGGAAGCTAGCTTTCATGAATAAGCATCAAAATCGCAAAAAAATTGTAAAACGAACTTTATTAGAACTTTATCTATGACCATTTTAGGGAGAGGAAGTTTCGAATGGACTTCTATCGGATATGAAGATCTTAGGGGATGTTTTGATGGTTTTCATTAAGTCAAGTATGAATAAAATTGTTGTGTGGATTAATATCGATTGAGAAGGTTTTTTCATAGATAGGAGTGGCGTGTTTTTTAATTTGGAGGGGTATGTTTGGAAAAATATAGCTTTCTGCATAAAGCTCCTCTACAAGCTTACTAAATAAGCCAGTTTCTATATCATTAAGCTACTACCAAACAGTCATGTATATTTGACTAAATAAGGTGCGAGTCTCATTAAGCTGCTAACAACCAGCCCCCGTACACGTCCTATATGTGTGTATCTATCACAAGACACACAAATCTACCCTAGTAAACCACTTGGGCCGTGGCACCCTGTTTAAAGATACAATGGAAATCTCATCTTCTCTGAGTTCGAATCCAGGTGCTGTCAAAACCGTTTTAGATCGCACAATGAATATTTAAGATTAACAGGCAATATTTTGTATACAGACATGAAATACCAAACTTCACACAGCCAGAGATGTTGATAAAGTGTGAACAAGAGATAACAAGATAGAACTATTAACCTGCCAAGGCGACGATGCTCCAACTCAAGATCAATCTTCCTATAATCAATACCTTTCTCTTGAAGCAAAACCTCCCTAGGCTTAGCATCACCAAAAGGGTTCACTTTAGGCCTAGTCTTCTCTAATCCCTGCAATGCAGCTGGTGCCGGACCCTCCACTGAACTGCCGGAGTGTGCACTCCCTGGTCTACTATTAGTGTGTGAACTCGTCGGCCGACTGCTACTTTTCTTAGACTCAATTTCTAAATCCACCTTCTTCCAGTCCAAACCTTTCTCAGCCAATACCTCTTCTCTGGGCCTGGCTGCCCCAAAAGGATTTGGCTTATTGGTCTTTGCCAATGGCTCAACTGGAGCATTTTCACTCCGACGTGGATCTAACACCAATCGCCGCCGTTCAGATGGTCGTTCATGATCACCATCACGAGGTACAACACCCCTTTGCCAACGATCGAGTTCAGAACCAGCAGAATCCCTAAAACCAGGGGAGAAGCTCGAAGACCTTGCCGGTGGCAATGGCTTCTTGCTCGCTGCCCAATTATCAATCTCGTCAGCCTTGGAAAATCCTCCCCCAACTCCTCCGGTACCATGAGAACCGTAACGGTTATTTCTAGTGACGGAATCGTAAGACGGAGCCATAGGTTTCTTCGTCATTGCCCAATTATCAACCTCGTCTGCCCTAGATGGTTGATCATATTCCGAAACACGAGGAAGCGGACCCCTACGATCATCACCAAATCCACCATATGATCTCCGACCACTCCCCCAAGAACCGTCACCATCTCCATCCCTATCACGCATCCTCGGCCCTCCACGACCACCTCCATATGACGAGAAACCTCCTCCGAGCCTCCCGTATTGCATTTCCTCAGGCGACCGCTCTTTCGGCCCGGTCGGAAGCCGCATCATTTCTTCAGGAGTCAATCCTTTATACTCAAAAGCCAATTCACGAGACGAACCGCCACCGCCTAGACCTCCAGACCCTGCCATCGTGAACTCCTGCAACGTCATCTTCGTCTTCTTCTTCCCTTTATTAGTACTCACCGCCTCTTTCAAACTCGGATAGCTCTGCGGTGGAGCCGCTGCAGCCGTAGCAGCTTGTTCCTTCTCTTCCGCTTCCGCCCGCTCGGCTTCCGCCGCCCAGGCGCCGATATTCCCCCATACTTTCGGCATTGCAGATCTGAAATTAACCTTATACACCAAACAAAGTCGTGAAAACAGATAACAAATACGAAAACAAGGTTTTATGATATCGATTGGATGCTGTGTGATGAATCAATAGATAGTATGCCGAATTTTGCAGAGCTCCGGCGAACGGCGGAGATGGTAGTTATGGTGGTGGTAAAATGGAATAATATATATCAAATACGAAAAACAAGGTGTTAAGATATCGATTGGGGTGCTGTGTGATCAATCAATAGATAGTTATGCCGGATTTTGCAGAGCTCCGGCGTACGGCGGAGGTGGTCGTTATGGTGGTGGTGAAATGGAATAATAGATAACAAATACGAAAAAAAAGGTTTTAAGATATCGATTGGGTGCTATGTGATGAATCAATAGATAGTTAAGCCGAATTTTGCAGAGCTCCGGCGTACGGCGGAGATGGTGGTGATGAAATGGAATAATCTAAACCGGCTATGTTGCTAAATGTGCGGTTTATGGAGTTTGTAGAGACAGAAAGTGAAGGAGGAAGAAAAGGCCACGCTTTTAAGTGGCGCGTGGTTAACACGATTTGTTGTAGAGGAGAGTGGGTATGCCATGCTGCTTACTTGTCAATTCTTCATTGGTTGTGTATAGGAACCATAATAAACATGTGATTATTCCCAACTAATTATTTATTATAATTTAGTCAAATTACGTTTCCGTCCCTGTTGTTCATTAAGAATTACAATTTTTGTTTTTTATGGTTTAGAAATTGTGTTTTTTTTTTCTCTATATGGTTTGTAATTTAGGTTTGAGTTTGGTGATAAGAATAGTTAAAGTAAGAAACATAAAAAACAATTTTCATCTTTCGACGTACATTAGAATGAGATGCACCAAATCAATCCCCATATCAGACATGATTCACGTATGAGTTTGAGATTAAAATTGATCAATGTTCCAGATTTTTCCTTACACTTTTTACCTTAATTCTCATCCTCACACAATTTTTTGTAATTCATTGTTTTTTTTTGTTTTTATATGAATTATAATTTATCATTGTCTTGGTCCATGTGGTTTTACAATTCTGTATTGTTTAGATCGTTTGTATTTTAAAGGTAAGAATTTGATCTAGAAACGAAAATAATAATAAAATACAAATCATAAGGACTAAAAGCACAATTTTTAAATCATAAGGACAAAAATGAAAACTATTAACAAACCAAAGAAAGTCGTAATTTACTCAATTATTTTATTATAATTTAGAGTAATTACGTTTTCTATCCTTGTTGTTTATCAAAAAATTGTAATTTTTGTCGTTGTGATTTTCATTCCTATTATTTGTATAAATTTGTTGTTATTTTTTTCTTATAATTTAAAATTTATTGTTGTTTTGGTTCCTGTAATTTACAATTTTTTTTATTATTTTGGTCATTTAGGCTTTAAACTTAAGAATTGATTGAGGAAAAAAATAACAATAAATTATAAATTATAAATTATAAAAATGAAATTAAAATTAAAATTTCTAAACTATAATGATGAAAATCAAAATTCATAAAAATACAAAATTTACTCCATAATTTATTATTCAAAATAAAAGAGAGTAAATTATGGATTTTGTCCTTGTGGTTTAGTAGTTTTTATGAAAATCGTCCTTGAACTTCATTTATTACATATTAGAACTTGTTGTAAGGCATTATGTAACGAATTGGTCCCTCCCTCTAACGGCCATCCAGTTCCTCTATTAACTTGAGGGCATTTTCGTCATTTTTTCTTTTTACTCGAGGGATCAATTTCATAAAAACCATATAAATTATAGGGATCAAATCCGTAATTAAGTCAAAAAATAAAATTAATTTTTTTATACTTTAAATTTATTAAACTAATTAATCATTAGACTTTAATATACATTAGTTAGGGGATGTTTGAGATTGTTTATTTAAAACAACTTATGTTTTTTTGTAAAAGTGTTTATTAAATTATGTGGTATTAAACTGGAGTTTTGTAAAAAGTGTTTGGATTAGCTTACAGCGGTACCAAACTGCAATAAGTTGATAAGTTGTTTTTTTAGTGTTTGGCAAATTTTGCTTATATCTGTAAAATGACCAAAAAGGACAGAGAGAATATTGATGTTGTTAAAATGACCAAAAAGGACAGAGAGAAGATTGATGTTGTTATATGGAGAAGGGAGAAGATTGAGATCGATGTTATCTGGAGGAAAAAAGATAGGTATAAAGGGTAATAGGATTAAAATAGTAAACTGGTAATAAGCAGTTTTTCATAAGTCATGACGGATTAACTTATCAAAAACTGCTTATTACCGGTTTGGCACCGGTATAAGCAATTTTCTTTTTTCTTATCCAAACACTAGGTATTAGCTTATCACCGGTGCCAGACTGAAATAAGTCAATAAACAGATAAAATAAGCAATCTCAAACATCCTCTTAGTATTCTTATAAATTTTATTTTAATATACAATATATTTAATGCTTCTGGTTTGGTCCCTTGATTTGTGGGGTTTTTTAATTTTTAGACTTAATTACTATTTTCTTCTATCGGAATTGTTTTATGGAGTTTGAAGAGACAGAAAATGAAGGAGGAAGAGAAACTCACGCGCTTGACGGTGCGTGGTTAACACGATTTGTTTTAAAAGAGGGTTGGAACCGGTGGGTGGTTGGGGAAGGTATGTATGAGAGTGGTATGCATGCTGCTCACATGTCAATTTTTCATTGGTTGGGTATAGGAACCACAATAAACATGTCATTGTTCCCCAACTAATTATTAATTAGCGTAAATTACGATTTTTGTGCTTATTTAAAAATTACGATTTTTAAGTATAATTTATTGTTATATAATTTATTGTTATTTTTGTTTTTAAACTAATTCTTATTTTTTAAGTATAAGGGTCCAAAACCATAAATTATTGTAATCCACAACACTAAAACAACAATAAATTATAAAGATAAAAAGATTAATGAATCACAAACTATAGGGATCAAAACCGTAATTTCTAAACTATAGTAAAAAAGATCATATATTTTAACAAAACATAATTTACTCTATTTATTAATAATTTAGTGTAAATTATGTTTTTCATCCTTATTATTGTTTGTTAATAATTTAATAAATATTATAATACATAAATTAGAGAAACTCTTGGAGCTTAAGCTTTATTCTCGAATTTGGGCTAGGAAAAAAAAATGGATGAAAATGAGAGGCAGAAAAAAAAAAAAATGTTTTTTTTAATTATTGTTCCTGAAAAAAAAAATTATTTTTCATGTTTTTGAATATAAGAGAGAAGCAAGGAAAAAACAGATTTAATTTTTTTTTTACAAATATATCATTTATAATGAAAAGTGGGAAAGTTTTTGTAATTATCATAAGGTAAATTAAATGAAAAAATAAAGTTTTAAGATTTTTATTTTGGGTAATGTACTTTCAAAACTTATATTTGATATCTAAAATGTAAAGTTTTAAACATTTAATTACTCGGGTAACCAGTTGGAGCATTAACCGGTTACATATGGTGAGTGATGTGATATCCAACTCATTATTATTTGTTATTCAATCCAATTTCATCTCATCACTCGTCACATCAACATAGTAATCGGTTAATGTTTCAACTGGGTACCATGCTGATGTGGCGAATGATGTATATCAAACTCGGTATTATTTGTTATTCAACTCAATTTCATCCCATCACTCGCCACATCAGCATGGTAACCGGTTAATGCTTCAACCGAATACCCAAATACTTAAATGTTCAAAACTTTACATCTTAAATACCAAAATGAAAGTTTTGAAGTAAGTTACCCAAAATAAAAATCAAGTTAAAGTACGTTACATTTTCATACAATTAACCCATTTGTAATTATAATAATCTTTTTAATGAGTTTTAATATATTTCTCACATTTGAACAGACCATTTTAATAAAAACTTATAATTATTTTACTTCTGTTTTCCTTCTTTTATCTCCTAAAAAGATTCTAAAACACGAGTTTTTTTACTTTCCTTCCTTATTTTTCTCGATCCTTCATATTTTTTCCAAAAATACGGATTTCACTTTTTTCCATTCTAAACGATGAGTTACTCACACAAGTACAAAACCATTGAATTGTATTCAAATAACAACAAAACCAATGGACCCACAACTTTACAAACATCACTAAAGTCTTGTAGGTGACAATTTTGACTTCAAAACCACCATTTTCTTTATAAAATCAACACCATTCATTTCATAGTGTTTTCAAATACTTCAATTTCTCTATTCAAAAATGAAGTGTATTTTTCTCAGGGTTCATCTTCTTCTCTTCTTCTTGTCAAAGATTGCCAATGGAGATGTGCTCTTCTCATCACTCACACACTCTCTTTATGTCGTCGCTTCGCCTACAGATGGTCAAGGTAAAAACGTACATGTCATAAGTGTTTTTTTTTTGAATTTGCTGTGTTTCGTCTCATATTTGGTGATTTTGGGGTTTGTAATTCGTTTCGTAGTCGAAGTGTTTTACAATTCGGGTAGATTTGTATAATCTTTCCTCTATCTACATATTGGAAACTTCATTTTCTCCTCAAAGGTTGTTTTGGAGAGTAATTTAATGAGGTTTTACATATTCTCACATGGTACCAGAGTCATGGTCTTACTACTCTAGGAACTCGACATTCTTGGGCAATTTGTCCTTGTCTAGCCCCCCTCAATACAGTGGGACAATTTGTGTTTCATGTAAGAGTCTCACATCGGTTAGAATTGGATCATAATCATGTTTAATTCAAAAAAAAAAGTACATTTCGTAAGTTGTAATCAGAATTTTTGTTTTAGGAGAATATTTTTCTAATGACTAAATTAACAAAAATGCAACATGCAGTCTTAAAAGCTGGGGAAGATCGTATAACGGTTAGCTTGGGGTTGAACCCTACGAACCAAACCGACGATGAATCATACAAGAATGTGAAAGTGAAGCTATGTTATGCACCGATAAGCCAAGTGGACAGAAAATGGAGGAGAACAGTCGACAATCTTGAAAAAGACAAAACCTGCCAATTTACAGTTTGGGATAAACCTTACGACGGGAATAACCAAACCTTTGAGTGGGAGGTCGAGAAAGATATTCCTACGGCCATGTATTTTGTAAGAGCATACGCTTACAATTCTTCCCATCAAGAAACTGCTTACGGTCAAACCACAAACGATAAGAAGACCAGTAACCTGTTTAAGGTCGAAGGTATCACCGGGCGCCATCTGTCTCTCGATATTGCCTCCATTTGCTTTTCTGTATTTGCTTTGTTGTCACTAGTCGGGTTCTTCTTACTAGAGAAACGACAGTCCAAAATCAAAAGTTGATTTTTCGTATAAGATAAAATGATTATTTTCTAGAATTGAAGTTTTATTACAATAAATTTGGGTTTACTGGACGCCTAAAATGTCTAAACGTCATAATAAAATATTTTGTAGGACTTAGGTTTATATGGCCAAACTATAAAGATTCTTATATAAAAAGGTATTTTTGGCATTTTAACAAGTTTTTTAGGATGCTTTTGAACGTCTTACCAGGTTTTTAGGACAATTTTGGACGTAACAAGTTTTTTAGAATGTTTTTGGGCATTGTAACAAGTTTTCTATAACGTTTTTTAAATAAAGTGTTGTATTAACTATTTTATATGACAATTTTGAGTGTTCTATAAACTCATTTTTTGTAAGACACTTTTTACCTTTTAATAGTTTCATTAAGAAGCAGTATTTGAATCGTTAAGAGGTGAATCTTGTTTAGCAAAAAAAGTCTTTCTCTTAATGATTATAAAATCCTCTGAATGATTTTGTATTCTAAATCTCCCTTAACCATTCAGCACCATAATTTCGTTGTAAATAATTACTAAACAATTATATTTCATTTTGCATTATATCATGAGTGTCTCTTAATCATTCCGACCACCAAACCATTCAGCAACCGTCAAACAACCCCTTACTTTTATTAGTAAATATTTAGAATTTTAATTTTTTAAGAGTTAAAAAAAGCTTGGTATCATTAACATGACTTGCCTTCCCTGCCTAATAAACCTTTGATTCTATTCTTTTCTTAGCTTCAAGTCACCCCTCAAATATTCATAACTTGTTCACCATTCTCATTTTGGAAACGAACCACACCCATGTTTCACCCACGCGAGACCAACCCGCATTTCCAGCCCCGGACCCAACGATACGCCCAACTCCATGACCCCGATGGCTCGAACCCTCACGCAGCCCAGCTACCCCAACGGTTCAGACCGTCTCCACCATCCTCAGTTCCCACAGTGACTCCCATCTTACCGGTTCACACGCAAGAACCAACCGCCCATTTGCCGATATCCTCCCCTGCATCATCTATACCTCCACGGGTTTCACCACCGCCACCTGCCGCCCAAGGCCGCCAAGGAATCGGCCTCTCTCGCTACCCGTCACCACCGCTACGCGTCCCACCACCACGAAAAACCAAACGCCTAACTTGGCTCGTCGCAATTTGTTGCGTTCTCTTCTGGATTGTTGTAATTCTCGGTGGGTTGATTCTACTCATCGTCTACCTCGCTTACCGCCCACGATACCCGAAATTCGATATCGCGAGTGCGAGCTTGAACACGGTTTATCTTGATCTCGGGTACCTTCTTAATGGCGATTTAACTTTGCTAGCGAATTTCACGAATCCGAACAAGAAAGTGAACGTGGAATTCCGTTATATGGTGATTAATCTTTACTTCGAAGGTACATTAATTGCGGCAAGATACGTAGAACCATTATCGGTTTCAAGAAGAGGGTACGAGCTTCGTGATGTTCATATGGTGAGTAGTCAAATTCCGTTTTCGAGACGACACGTTGCGCGTTTAAACGAGCAAATGCGAACCGGGAGAATCATGTTTGAAACCAAGAGTTTCCTCCGAACAACATCGACTCTTGGCGGGTTTTTCCGATACTCATATTGGTTACACGGGCATTGTAAATTCGTAGTGAGCGGTCCGCCGAGCGGAGTTTTGGTCGCGAAAAGCTGTGTCACGAAACGGTGACGGGTAACTTTTTGTCGCGAAAGGGCGTCGCTAAAAATTAAGAGGGGTGGGATTGTAATTACATTTTAAATATGGTTTTTGATTGAAGTTTCTTTATTTGATCTATTATTTTTTTATTTTAATCATTTCTACTTGAATTTTTAAATTTTATAAACCAAATTGAAAGCAATATCTGATAAATGATTGTGTTTTATGGTTACCAAATATATAATATAATTGAGGGATTGTTTGTTTGTTTATTTCTATACAGTTTTATTAAGATACAATCTTTGAATCGTGAAGAGGTGAATTTTGTTTGACAAAAAAAAATCTGTCTCTTAATGATTATAAAACACTCTGAATAATTTTGTATAATGGGTCTTTCTTAATCATTCAGCGCCTTAATTTCATTGTAAACAATTATATTTCATTTTGAACTATATCATGAGAGTCTTTTAATCATTTTGATCACTTAATCATTTTATACAAAACCATTAAGAAACTGTCAAAGAGCAAATGAATCTTAATTTGCAAGGTTTTTCTAACTTAAAAGTACATCATCCGAATTGATTAGTTCCATGAAATTTCATGAACTAAATTTGTAGCTGAAATAAATGGTTGACTTTGACTTTGAGCTGAATTGGTACCACACATCATCCAAATTGATTGGTTCCATGAAATTTCATGTATGAAAAGGTCATCATTTTTATTTATTTATTAATTATAAAAAAAATGTACATACAAATACACACATAAAACCCTCTAAAATTGAAACCCTTTTTCCTGAAAATGGGAGGCAAGAGTTCAAAGGAAAACATCATCAAGAAGTACTCAAAAATCGCCGATGACTACCAAACGCTTGAACAGGTTTGTTTTAATTTTGTTTTTTTTAACTGTGGGTGTTCAGATCAGTTTATATGTATCTGAATTAATCTTAGAGGTACTGAAGAATAGTCAAGGAAATGCTCAATGACTGAACCAATGACCTCTGGGAAGAACCTTAAACGCTCGAACCATATTGCCATTGAGCTAACTCTTTTGTATATATGATTGGTTTTTAGCATGTTTTCGTGAGACCACAAAATAACAGTGAAATTTCACATCGATTCATTGTGAAGGTATGAAAAACAATAAACTTTCACAGGAAAAACACTGGGAAGATAAACATTCACGGTCTTTTTCTTTGAAGGTTTAGTGTGTTTTACATGGTCTTATGGGTCTCACGAAACCATGTTGATCTCACATAATCCCAAGTTTATATATATATAAAGTTGGGATCACATGAAACCAACTTGTTTTCGTGAGACCCTTAAGACCATTTTTTTACACTTGAAACTTCACAGCAAAACACTATGAAGATAACCTTCACAGTGTTTTTGCTGTGAAGGTTCGACTTTTTTTTACCTTCAAAGCGTTTTGCTATGAAGTTTCAAGTGTAAAAAAATTGTCTCACGGGTCTCACAAAAGCAAGCGGGTCTCACGTGAATCAACCCTATATATATATATATATATATATATACACACACACACACATAGAGAGAGAGAGTTGGGTTCATGTGAGATCATATTGTTTTCATAAGACACGAGAGGTCACATAAATTACATTAAACATTTACAGCAAAACATTGTGAAAGTAAACCTTCTGTATTTTTGCCGTCAAGGTTCTATTTTTTTTTGGTATCAAGGTTCGATGTTTTTTACACATTCATAATGTTTTGTTGTGAAGTTTGAGTGTTATTTTGTGATCTCATGAAAAAAGTTTGATCTCACATGAACCCAACCTTATATAGATATACAGATTATAATTCGTGTTGTATTTTTGAAAATATATTTGTCATCCTTTAGGTTACATCGGCTCTCGCTAAAGCTGGACTCGAATCGTCAAATCTCATCGTCGGCATTGATTTCACCAGAAGCAACGAGTGGACAGGTAACAACTTATTTTTCGAGTTTATAAAAAAGACCTCATTCATCAGTAGTTTTTACCAAACATGCTTATCTTTTCAGTCAACAGCTAGTTTATTGACTCCTTTTCTGTATACGTGAACTAGGGAGGGAGTCGTTCAACGGGCGAAGCTTACATAACATCAACGGGGTGCTACAAAATCCGTATGAAGAAGCCATTTCCATCATCGGGAAAACGCTCTCCGCTTTTGATGAGGATAACTTCATCCCATGCTTCGGATTCGGAGATGGTAACGTACAAAACTAATACACGGGCTTTTCAGTAATCAGTCATTTCTGCCAATAAAACTCATTAAAATAGTTGTTTTTAAGCATTATCAAGAAATAGTCAGTAATTAATGTACGGTTTTTTATTTGAATTATTTAGTCTCCACCCATGATCAAAGTGTCTTCAGTTTCTATTCGGGTTCCGGTTACTGTCACGGATTTCAGGACGTATTGACACGATATAAACAGATCGTTCCTCAACTGCTACTTTCAGGTCTACTTTTTTCCTTAAAAATTAATGATATATACAGAGTTTGTTTGGTTCTGTTGATTGTCGTAAAACAACCGAGCATTGATGTACCCGAATGAACCGTGTTTTTTGTAGGACCTACATCTTTTGTACCTATAATAGAAATGGCCATGACAATCGTCGAAGAAACCGGAGGCCAATACCACGTTTTGCTGATAATTGCCGACGGCCAGGTTATCGTCAAACCGTCACGAAAACTCCAAATCTGTCGCTTTTTTGAATTGCAAACTGAAAGTTTTGCGCTTTTTTAGGTAGGAAGCGTCGAGGGTCAGCTAAGTAGTTCACAAGAACGAAACACCATCAACGCCATTGTAAGAGCGAGGTAATGTTTCACATTTAGCTAAAAATTTCCAGATATCTTAATAGACTGTTTTATAAGATTTAAGGACGTAAAACCAAACTTTAACAGGTTTTATAAACTTAAGTTCTATTAGTACGCTTACTAATTTTTGGCGTTTTATAAACCGATGTTATCGCAGTGTTCTCAGTGTTTATTGTTGCTTTCATCGTTACAGTAAGTACCCGTTATCGATAATACTGGTGGGGGTTGGCGACGGGCCTTGGGACAAGATGATGGAATTCGATGACAACATTCCTTCTCGAGCCTTCGACAATTTTCAGGTTTATAACTGTTAGAGTCCTACATCAGCTATATTTGGACCATTTCTTTTGGAACTTGTGTTCTCTGTTTACGGGCTCTTTTAAAGAGTAATATAACTGATTTCTTCTCGTTTGTTGCTAGTTTGTGAATTTTACAGAAATTATGTCAAAGAATGTGGATCCATTGAAGAAACAAACCGAATTTGCGTTAACCGCATTGATGGAAATACCTTCGCAATATAAAGCTACGATCGAGCTCAATCTACTTGGGTACGTTCAAATATTTTGTTGAATCAGTAATCACACATACAAATCGATGAATTTTGGTTTGTGATATTTAAGAAATTTCCGTTTATGTTATGTCGTTGATTAGTCAACGAACGGGTTATTCTCCAAACACCATCCCCCTTCCTCCACCTTACGGTGGCACTACGAATTTCGAGAATCGAAGCGTACATGAGACGGGATCTTCATCTTCGGATTCTATTTATGACAATAAGGTAAGCGGTCGTGAAACTCAAGAAATTTGTGTGTTCTTTGTTTATTGGATTAGGGGTATATTTTTTATCCTTAGCTCACGGCATCCAAAACCATGGGACCTCTCTAGGGTTGGTAACAATAATTGCGTTCGGTTCTTGTTTTCAGGTGTGCCTTGTGTGACGTAATAACCCAAAGGACATGGCGTTTGGTTGTGGGCATCAGGTGAGCGTAAACACAATTCGTTGTAAATATACTAAACGATTAATTGTTCTTATTATTGATGTTATTGTTTTGTTGGGATTTACAGACATGCTGTGAGTGTGGAGTTGATCTTTCATTGTGTCCGATTTGTCTGAATCTAATCGAGACCAAAATAAGGTTGTATAAATAGGATTTGTATCGATGTTGTACTGAGAAAACCGTTGTATGTGTTGCTTTTTAGCAGAATATTAGACTCTTCCAATTGAGTCGTTTTGAGTGCCTTTTATATTTATGATGCAACAGTTTCTTGTAAAGTCTTTGTTAGGGATCATTTATTTTTAATATATATTGGAAAATCTTTTTTCTAAACACGTTTGAGGACTAGTCAAATGAGGTTATACATATTCTCACATGGTATCAGAGCAGAAAAAAATCCATTATCTTGGGTGCGTCGGATACACAGGACAAGACATAACATAACAGGGAGCACTTTTCCAGAATATGTATAACAGAATATGTATAACATCGAATGAATGCAGCTCTCTCTTTACATTTTATTTCATTATTTAAATTTCACTTTACTAGCCTTAAAATGTTATTCTTCTATATTTTGATTAATTTATATAATTTATTAAATATCAATAACAAAAAGTATAAAATAAAATTTAAAAACTACACTTATAACCATCTGTACCTGTCCAGCCCCCTCTCAACATTTTGTGACTATCTGTACCTGTCTAGATGACTATCTGTACCTGTCCAACCCCCTCTCAACATTTTATGACTATCTGTACCTGTCTAACCCCCTCTCTAACAAGCTCGGTTACCATCTAGGTATTGGAGTCCTGTAACATCCAAATGGACCATTTCTTTTGAAACGAAACAGATGTGTTTCTCTACCAAGTAGAATTATGAATTCTCTATTTTGAAGGCTTCAAGCAATCTAAATTTGTTTCAAAGGTGGATCCCTAATGCAAATGGTAATATCTTTTGGGAATATAGAATCCACCTAAGTTGATGTTGAACAAAACTGTAACCAAAATTAATTTAACAAATAGAGCACAACAAAAAAAAATGTAACCAAGCCGAATTTGTTCCCAGTCGAGTCAGAGACAAACGTGTGTTCACTCGGGCGATGCAACAACCCCAAAAGAAGTGTTGTTTTTGGCCGTTTCATCTTCATGTCCACCACCACTCCTGTTATATGATCTCGGGTCAGTCTGATTCAACTGGGCGGAACTAGTACAACGATTGAATCATGAGAGCTGGAAACGGTGCAAAGCCACACCATGACGAGCAGCAGGAACGCACCCCCATCGACCCAATCGGGGTTCCTGAATTGTGAGCACAACAAATAAGTCACAACTAAACAATTTTAATAGTAAAAGAAAGTCATCATAACCAGCATGTGTCATCATTTTTGGGCAACCAAAACCAATACGGACAATTTAATTCATACACAAGTCCTGTATGGATAAAAGTGTCTGAGTAGATGAATTTGTCTGTATAGATTCGAAAGATTTTTATTTGGGAGGTTTTTTTCATAAATGGAAGGAGCGAGTTTGGGTAGGGCAGGTTTGAAAAAAACTTGGCTTTCTGTATAAAGCTACCCCCTAGAAGCTTTACTGAATAAGCCACATTCTGTATCATTAAGCTACTACCAAAGTCATGTACAGCTGACCGAATAAGTTGTGTGTCTCATTAAGCTGCTAAAAACAGGCCCTTGCTGTTGCGAAGAAAATGAACATTTGGTTAAAGAATTTTGTAAAAATGCTACTAGAAAAGATGCGAAAAGATGGTTCCAAAATCACTTGTTCATACGTAATGGAGTATTCTTTCTTTCTTTCTTTCCGTGCGTTTTCAAAAACAACGGAATTTTTGCAACTAAAAGCCGAAAAAGATGGCTGAAACGTTAATCACTTAAGAGATTGTGGAACGGTAGATCAAGAAATGGTATGGTGATCAAAACCTCAGATATTTGAAGATGAATCACTCTTTAACATCGTCTGCTGGTTATAATCAAGAAATTTTAAAGGTAAAAAAAAAACTAAAAAGAACTACAAAACTCACCTTGCCAACGCCAGCAACCAAAAATTTCCCCGACTTGGCAAACGCCAAAGAATTCACGTACCCGACCTATATACACGTAGATCAATATCAGAAAAAAGAAATGCCATAAAAAGGTACCCGACACTTTTAGTTACAAATTGGAAAGCGATGATAACAATTTCTCTACGTAATTTTCTAGCAACTATCCCTGAATTTAAAACAATTAAGCTTTCATTCATTTAGTACATGTTGATGGTAAACTGAAAATTGAGAACTTACTAATGGCAGCTCAAAAAGTGGGCGAATGCCTTTGGCATCACTTTCGATTTCCCACAGACGAACGACACCATTACCGGCTCCTGATGCTGCAAGATCAGTGCCTCTACATACAGCAACAGAACTAACCCAGGAATGTGCAGACGAGCACAACTTTTCGGGAACAGGATGCAAATTATCTGATAAATGGAAAGTTAATGATTTTTTTATCAGGATCGCAAAAACTCAAGTTCTTAACAGCTACGGTGATTAATAATAGTAGTAAACGAAAGAAAATTAAAAAAGCTACGGTCCTCCAATGAACGAAAATAGCAAATAGTTATGAACTTCCGTATATGTCAATTATATGGGAAATTGTCCAAGATAGCTAATCAGCCCTCCCCTCTTCACTTTATAGCCACATTTCCAACATTGTGACCGGAATAGCCAGAGATCAAACAAGTAGCGCTTACACAACGGAATTTTACGAATAAAATAATCAGATTCATTAGACATTAAGCAGGTTGCACAAGTGCTACTTGTGTAAGCCACATACGCAACTTACTTAATGTCGACCTTTTCGGATTATTTTATTAGAAAAAGTGAGTTATGCAAGTTGCTTAAGCGCTAGTACTAGCATAATCTTTGGCTATTTCAGTCAATGTCTTGAAAAGGTGGCTATAAAGTGAAGAGGGGAGACATGATTGGCTATTTTGGACAATTTCCCTAATTATATACTGTATAAAGATTTAACGTTGATTACCTTCGCTACCATTTGATAAATCACCATTTTGTACTCCATCAAGCTTATTTGGGGTCAATGTAGGGTGTGCATTTTTTACAATATGAAGGGGCTTCTTTCGCATTACACTCCAATGCTCAATACTACCGTCATCTGAGCCCGATAAAAATTCATCATTACTAATAAAACAGCAGCACTCCAATAATGATGCAGGAGCACGAAAGACTAATTGTGACTCCTCGGGAACCTGTATTTACCAAAGAAAATATGAACCGAAAATCAAGAAAATTAACATTTATACTACCACATTCATGTTAGGTAGATAAAGGGGCAGGTCCTGTTAGAAACTTAAAATTGATTAGGAACCCAGGAACCGCCTACAAAGCGACACTTGACATATTCATTAAGAATATGGATATGCCATTCATCATGATTGTGTGATTCATGATGAATAGCACGTCCATATTCATCATGAATGTGTGATTCATGAAGAATAACACTTCCATATTCATCATGAATGTGTCATTCTTCAAGAATAACATGTCCATATTCATCACAAATATGTTATTCATAATGAATATTCACCAATAATGAGTGACACATGATACATTGTGGGCGGTTCCCGGATTCCTAATAGAACTTTCCTCCCACTTAGAACAAGTAAGATAAGTAAACCACTTACCTTCCATAAGTGCATGGTTCGGTCACGACCAACAGTTAGCACCCGTTCTTTTCTTAAGCAATCGATAGTTAAAACATCACTTTGATGACCAAACAATGTCGTTATGTAAGTTCTGTCTTCTGCATTCCATATCTTGATGGTTCGATCATATGAACCAGAAAATAATTCCGAAGTCCCTTGCCTAAATGTCAAGCATGACACAGGTCCTTTATGGCCTGGAAAAGCCTACAAAAACATCCCACCGGCAATTAAGAACAACAGTTCAAATAGAATGACGATAATAACCGTTCAAAATTTTGCCCGTTTGAAACGGTACCTGAATATGTTCCCGTGTACGTGTATCCCATAGATGAATATGTCGATCAAAGCCTCCACTTGCCAAATACCGACCATCAGAGCTTACAGCCAGCGCTAAAACGTGCTTACTACGCTTTTTAGCTCGACCTTGTGGATCTTTGGCACCATGAGACTTCAATACATCCTCACTAGGCCAAGCGTATGCTTCGGTCTTCCCACTATTCACATCCCACTGGACGATATAGCCATCCTTAGAAGCAGAAAATCCTTTAGAATCATCTTCTGATAAAACCACGGCAGTTACAGACTGTCGGTGTTTCACTAAAACATCAAATCCGTCCATTGTTTTTGGATTTTGAACCCTATATATACAGTTCAATAACTAAAATCAGCTCCCCAAGAAAAATTTACATTCATGGATGCTTATATAGTTTAGTTTCTATATATCAATCAACTTCCAAGAAAACAGACAAAAGAAATAGCCAACCATTAGAGAAATTGTCCAAAAAAGTGTCCAAAATAGCCAATCAGGCCTCCCCTCTTCACTTTAGAGCCACCTTTTCAACAAACTGACCAGAATAGCCGAAGATTAAGCAAGTAGCAATTACACAACTTGTGTAATTCACTTTTTCCAATATTATGTTCAGGAAATTAGACATTATGTTGGAGTGTAGCCCACCTAGACATTACGCAAGTAGCATTTACACAACTTGCATAATGTCTAATTTTTTGATTATTTTATTGGAAAAAGTGGGTTACTGTAGTTTCTTAAGCGTTACTCACATAATTTCCGGAAATTTCGGTCACAATGTTTGAGATGTGGCTGTAAAGTGAAAAGGGAAGGACTGATTGGCTATTTGGGACGATTTCCCCAACCATTAACATGGATGATTTTACACAAACAACTTCAAATTGTTCTACTTTTGCAAACCATTGTTATAGTTTGATGTTATAATCACATTCTAATCTACAAATACTTTTATAATTATCTAGTAGCAAATTACACTTTCAAATTTCTAATCTAACTATTATCCTGGAAAGAGGGCATTATGATTTCCAAATATCCTTTTAACCCATCTTGGCATGATGGCATTTACAACTTCTGTAAGATCCGATGTTTGGCCTGTGATATAACAAATGGGAACTGAACTAGTGTGCCAACGAGGATGCTAGGCTCCCAAGGGGTGGATTGTAAGATCCACTGTCTTGGGACTGGATACCTCCTCTATCGGACCTTTTAAAAACTGTGAAGCTGTGAGTGCAGGTGTCTGGACAAAGCAGGTAATATCTGATACAGTTGGTCCGGGATGTTACAGTATGGCAAATCAACTCACTCATGATTGATGAAAATGGTGTTTAGACAGATTTCAAGAATGATTCCAGGATTCTTCTGTTGATTTAAATCTCCTCTCCATTAAAACGCCATAAACTTCGCATAGAATTAGCAGTTTCACAATGAAAAACAACTTCAAATTAATTCCAAATAGAGTACGAATGTACCTTGAAGCAATCAATTTACGAACACGACCACTATCTTCAAGTTGTTGTGCCTGCAACATCCGTGCAACCAGAGAATCCCTTTCTCCCCCCTCTCCACCACCTCTTTCATCCACCTCATACTCTTCACCTTCCTCCTCTTCTCTCCTCGCCGCCGCTCTCATCTTCTCCAAATACGCCTCCGCTACTCTCTTCCGCTTCTCCGCCGCAGTCTCCTCCGCCCCCAATTCAGTTCCAGCAACATCATCATCATCATCCACCGCCGCCGCCACTTCTCGGTCATCATAATCGTCGGAATCACTGCTCTTAATGCTGTCATCATCATTGTCTTCAAAATTCCTCCGGCGCTTGGAATCGCCGTCAAAGAACGGGTCGGGTTTGTCCGATTTAAACCTCTTGCTTTTATGGCCATTTTGATTCTTCTTAGTGTTGTTGAACTTTTTACCTTTCATCATGATTGATGATTACAGGAAGTAAAGAAAGAAGAAGAATTTGAAGCAAAAACGGAGGTTGAAGGGTTTAAGGGTTAGATTAGGGTTTATTATTCATGTCTGGACAACCAGAGAGAGGAGAAAGGAAGCATGAAAGAGAAGGAGGTGATACCAAAATTAAATTGGGCCTTTTACATTAATTCAAGTGGGCCTCAGGCCCAAATCATAAAAAATCAAATCCATACTCCATTTTAAATCCATAAGGATTGGCTTTGTTATAACGGAATCACTATTTTATATTTGAAAAAAATTTGTATGTAGAATAGACAGAAACAGAGTATAATAAGCGTGTTTTATTTTACCAACATAATTTTAAAATAAAATTTAATTATTTTTTAAAACATCAATCATCTTTCGTTACATTTTTATTCATTTTTTAAATTTTATTTTGTTGTGTTTTATATCTTTAAATTTTCACTTTATTGTCCTCAAAATATTATTTTCAACAGTAGTTGTTGAGTAGCTCTTTATGTTCAATTATCTAACACCTCTATCCAAGCTTCCTTGCCTTTAAGATCTTACCCAAAAAGATATTATTTCCTCTAACTTTCTATCTAAGAGAAAGTCAACCTCTTAACAAATCAGACAGAAGAAGCTAATAAAAGTTTTTTTTTTTTTTTTAACAAACAAACCCTTATTGTTGCATCTTGTTGAAGCCAAAATATACTTTTAATATGTAATTAAGCATATTTTTCAAATTTCACTTCTATATTTGGGGCCATTAAAGTTTAAAATAGAGACTCAATCTCAATTGCCACTTTTGGCATATATTTGATGAAACCAAAAATTGGAAAAGAGGAACAATAAAAAGAAAAGCAAGCAAAACATTTATATAGTTTCGTCTACATTCAACTACTTTTATTTATTTATTTTTATCATCATGAGTCATGACCAAAATTTTAACAAATCAATAAATGCAAAAGTGATTAAACGCATGTAAAAGTTCATGAAAGTGACTTAAAAATAAGATTAATTTAATAAAAAGATAGATGAATACAGTTGAAAAAAATTTAGTTACAATAAAAAAGTCAACTCATCTAAAAACTCAAAAATATTTTCACCATAACTGTCAGTTATCACACAATCCCCTTTTCTCTATATATAAATAAACAAATATAAACCAAAACCCACGTTTCTTTTCACGGTAAGCGCTTATCAGGTAAATTGTTATATTCGATGTCGTTTTGGTGGACTTAAAATCTTACCCGGTAAGTAAATGATAGTGTTAAATTTTACCGGTAAACGCTTACCGGATAAATGTTTGGTAAAGAGCTCCTAATTAATAAAATATATCTTCTTTTCAATAACCTTTTAAATACAAATTTGGTTAAATATATGGACATAGAACACTAAAGAAATGGATATGACATAAAAAGGGAATTAAAGATAAAGAAGATAGTTCCAAAGGCAAGATAAGATATGAAGGCATACAAGCAAGGAACAAGATTCATTACCACTTTTGTGGAGTTTATATCATCTTCTCTTCCTCCTCAATTCAAACTCAAAATCTTTATCAATGGCAGCCACCCGAAACCGCCATCTCCGAAGCGACCGCAACATGTTCTCCGCCTCCGATGACAACGCCATGATGAAACACATTGTCGCCACCCATTCTCCCGATGGCACTCTTTTCAATGTCCGACCACTTATCCAAATCATCGAGGACATCATGCAGAGGGTCGATCCGGTCGCCGCTGTTGACGCCACCGCCCACCTTCATGTACGTAAATTTCGATTATAATTCTGCCATTGAGCTCCACCGCTTAATTTCGATTCGTGATTTGCAGGAAAATATTCAAGCAGAATTGGCTCCCATGGCTGACACTGAAATCTATAATGATCTCAATGATATGCTTGAAATTATGGCAATCACAATCAATAAGGTTTCGTGCGAGGTATAAGCTTGTGTTATATGAAACAACAATGTGTAAACACTGTATTTTCGCACATGTTATTGTTTTATCTATGAAACAACACATGCAAACTGGTTTATAAGTGTGGATGGTTTATTATGTTTGTAAATGATTATGCATGTGTGTATACACACACATGGACATTCTTTTAAAAGAGAACCAGTACATATGTGTTATTTTATATCATCTTTTTTCATCTATGGGTAAAATTTAATGTAGTTATTAGCAATTTAACATATTTTTGTTTCACGTTGTGCTATTTCACATGTACTTGGTTCATAATGTGAACATATTTGGCGTGTTTGTGAAACAAAAAGTACACGTAAAAAAAATTCGCATTAGGAACCGAATACATATGAAACAAATAAATTGTGAAATAAATATATGTTAATCAATACATTAAATACATTTTCGTGAGACCTTTCTGTTTTCATGAGACTCGTAAGACCACAAAATAACCCTGAATCTTCACAACAAAATATTGTGAAAGTATAAAAAGTACCAAACCTTCACAACAAAAATATTATGAAGGTTTGCATTCACAATATCTTTTTGTGAATGTTCTATGTTATTTAGTTGCTCTCATGAAAACAAGTTGGTCTCACATGAACTTAAGTCTATCTCTATATATGAATGTTTGTTTGTATGTATATGTATGTATGTATATCTTATGGAGTTGAATGGTGAGTTAATAATGTATGGCAGATTTCTTGCAAATGTACGGGCGGAGGAGATGCTCATGCAACCACGACGGAGCTTTTTCATCTACTTTCCAATTACGGGTGGGATGCAAAAGCTGCCATTACTCTGGCAGCTTTTGCTATGAATTATGGCGAGTTTTGGTTGGTGGCTCAGCTCTACACTGCTAACCCACTCGCCAAATCATTAGCCCACCTGAAGCAATTGCCAGACATAATAGAGCATGGTGAAGTTTTGAAGCCACGTTTTGAGGCGGTCACCACCCTGATCAAGGCCATGCTCGATCTCACTCTTTGCATCGTTAAGTTTAAGGAGCTCCCGAGTCAGTATATCAGCGTAGATACGCCAGAACTAGCAACGGCCACTGCTCATATCCCGACTGCTGTTTATTGGATCATCCGAAGCATTGTGGCTTGCACATCCATACTTATGAACCTCATCGGAATGGGACATGAGTATGTTTTTTCCAATCACCGTGTTTCCTCTTACTATAACAAAATCAGCTTTATATGACATAAAATATGTCGAAAAGTCATAATACTCTTTTATAGGACTTAAAGTTTATAAAACCAAACGATATTATAATCAACCGTAAAAGTGTTACAATAAGTTGATATGACACTTTTAAATGTTTTAACAAGTTTTTTAGAACTCTTTTGAAATAAAGATTCATATTAGTTTTTTTATATAACATTATTTGAAAAAGCGTCTTATAATGATAAGTGTCCAATAAAAAAGATTGAGGTGTTCATAGAACACTTATTTGACGTGTCATATATACAGGTGCAGGTTCGTTAGGAGCCTAAAACTGATTAAGAACCCGGGAACCGCCCACAGCACAACAGATGGAATATTCATCTGGAATATAGACGTGTTATTCATCATGAATAATACGTAACACATCCATATTCACCATGGGCGGAGGATCGTGTGAGAAGGAGAGTTAAGGTGAGAAGCGTAAGAAGAGATTTGGACCTTGATCACCTTTAATCTCAAACTCGCTCATTAATCACGTGTGGTACGAGGATTGATCTGGTGCATCTTGGTGCATCTCATCACAATGTCCATACAACGGTGGAGATCTCTTCTTACGTTTCTCACCTTAACTCTCATTCTCACCGGAACCCAACTCATTCATCATGACCGTGTGATTCATGATAATAACACTTTCACATTCATCATGAATGTGTTACTTATGATGAATATTCACCATGAATAGGGACACGTGGTGTGCTGTGGGCATTCTCATGAATATTCAGTTTCTAGCGGAACTTTCGTCTTAGGACATATATTTCAAAAGCGTCAATTTATTGTAACATTTTTATACATGATACACGATTATTATATTTTGTAAACTTAAGTGCTATACACCAATCTATTAACTAAATATTTAAATATATATGACGTTCTATAAAATTGATTTATCTATCCATATATGTGTGTGTGTTTGTGTATAGATATATGTGTATATATATATATATGTATGTATATATATATATATATATATATATATATATATATAACATTCTTTTAATAAATCCAGGCATATTACGACGACGACAGAAGCTTGGGAACTATCAAGTTTGGCCCATAAGATCAGCAATATTCATGATCATCTACGGCACAACTTGCAACTTTGCAATCACTACATTAGTAAGATCAAGAACATGAATACTGCTATCACTTACGATATATATACACATCTACATATTCCTACGAGAACAATAATCAAATAAAGGAATAAGAAAGGGATCGATTCACGTATGATTTTATACTAAAATCACGTGTAAATCACATGTGATTCACGCGACTTTGGCCGCAACCTGATGAGGTCGCAAGGCTACGTCGCCCACACACATAAATTCACATTTGTTTGTGTTTATATAATTTGACATTTTCAAAATAATAATCAGACGAAAAGCAGCAAATCGAAGCATACGAAACGCTGCTTCGCGTCATGGATACTCCACATCTCGATAACATCAAGCCTCTTAAGCATTTGATCTACTTGAAAGACGATCAACTTCCACTCTACAAGAGCTCTACAAAGAGTCGGGTCGGTACCGATTCTTTTCCATTAAGTTCTATATGAGTTAAACTGTCTATCTGGATACAAAACGTAAACGTACTGTTGCTTATTATTTTGTGCAATCTTAGGTTAGCATCGACGTAGTAAGGAAGAAGATCGTGTTGCTCCTCATCTCGGATCTCGACATATCCCCAGATGAGATCTTGTTGCTTGACCAAATGTACAAGGAGGTCGGGGTCGGTCCGGACCAATTTGAGGTGGTGTGGCTGCCGGTCGTGCCGAATCACAAGTCCTTACCGTGGACCGAAGTGAACCAAAAGAAGTTCGAGGTTCTGCAAAACATGATGCCCTGGTTTTCAGTGTTCCACCCCTCGTTACTTGATCCAGCTGCCATCAAGTACATTAAGGAGGTGTGGCATTTTAACCACAAGCCGTTGCTTGTGGTTATGGATCCTCATGGGAATATAGTCAACCCGAACGCAATGTATATGATTTGGATTTGGGGAATCGTCGCTTTCCCATTCACGAGATTGAGGGAAGAATCCCTTTGGCGAGACGAAGATTGGAGGATCGAATTACTAGTCGATTCCATTGAGCCAATGATTCTCGATTGGGTACGATCGTCACTAACCCAATTACTTAGTTTCTCACTACAACAAAATCAACTTTATATGATCGTCACTAAGTTATATAAAGTATTCTATTGTGATGCTTATACAATCTAGGCGTCTATAAAGCCAATTTTTTCGTCTCGTGCAGATTCGTGACGATAAGTACATTTGTTTGTATGGAGGTGACGACTTGGACTGGATACGAAAGTTCACGAAAACCGCACGATCGGTGGCGAAGGCTGCTGGAATCCAGCTCGAGATGCTATACGTCGGAAAAAGCAACCCGAAAGACAAAGTTCGAAAGATCAACGATACCGTCCAACGAGAAAAACTTAGCGACGTGCTCCCGGATCTGAATCTCATTTGGTATTTCTGGGTCCGATTAGAAAGCATGTTGCACTCGAAATTGCAGCACGGCAAGTCTTTCGAGGACGATCCGATTCTACGCGAGATCAACGTGATGCTCACATACGACGGAAACGATCAGGGATGGGCGGTGATTTGCCGCGGATCAAAAGAATGGATGCGGAGGGCGAACGGTGATACGGTGTTAACGAGCTTGACGAACCATTCTGAATGGGAGGAGGACGCCGGGAAACGAGGTTTTTTGCCGGCGTTGAATGACCATTTGGAGGCAAATCGGTCGGAACACCATTGTAACCGGCTGATCTTGCCGGGAACCACCGGGATGGTGCCGGAGAGAGTGGTTTGTGCTGAATGTGGACGACCGATGGAAAGATTTATATTGTATCGATGTTGTACGGACTAAATAGGCATATATATATATATATATATATTAAGTGTGTTAATTTTATATATATATATAGATGTGGATGTGGATTGGAGAGTAAAGATGTTATAAAATATAGTTGTGCTTAATGGTATTGTGAGATTGTATTAATTGATAAGGTGTTGAAATAAATGATTGTATAATTTGTGGATTTGTGAATCAAAAATATGACTAAACTCTACGAATTTATTCAACCACTATTGTTCTACATATGATTTACTTGTTTTTACTTTATAAAAGGTTAATTTGACTCTTTTGGCAAGTTATTTGTGTTGTATCTCATGTTGTAGCACTGGCACAAGATTGAACTTGAAGAAAAAAAATGGAAACCGAGTGGAAACGACTAGAAGACAAATTGTTGTATCTTAAAAACCATATTTGTGTTTTGTGGTGGAGAAATCCAATCAGATCTAATTTGATTATGAATTATAGTTTGAAGTTTATGCTCTTGTTTTAGTATATAAATTCTCGTATTTTCTTGAATATTGTCCTTCATTGCTTCTTTACATTAAGTTCTTTCCACTTTTATGCTTATCGTCTTTAATTTGTTATGTTTTCGCTCTCTACTTTCCGCTTTTTAATTTCAATCATTTACATTCATTTTTTTATTTTCTGTTATTTCTTTTTTTTTTTTGCAATTACTTTCTTTTATGAGTAGCTAATTTTCTTAGCTTGGGTGTTAGACAAATGGTGAGATTCTAAATCAAAAGAAAGTGGAAGTTATTTTACAATAACAATCCACTCTTTCATTTCAAGTTAAAACCAATGACACTTCTTGACGAGTTTATCACTTTGAAAGTGTTAAAGTGTTACGGTCTAAGAGATAAGTCATTGAATACACATCAATTTGAATGATATGAAAATTAGACTTGAGAGAGTTGTTGACAAAGTGATTTGTCATTAATATTTTTCAAACAAATTAATTGTCGACGGATTGGTCACTTGTTAAAGTGTTAAAGTGCGGTAGATTCGGATATGAACTAGTTAGAACACACACCAACTTGAATGATATAGGAATCGGCTCGAGAGAGTGATTTTTAACAAAAAGATTTATTCATCCATATATCTTGAGAACACCATTTGCCATTATCAAAGTATATTTTAGTTTGATTTTACCGGGGATCCCCGGCCCCGGGACCCGTTTTAGCGGGGAATCCTCGTTCCCGTTCGGGTCGGGTGAACCGGGTTCCCACTGGGTCAGGGCAAATCACCATCCTTAGTCTATTGTAAGGATTGGCGCTTTTGCTACCTCAAGGACGATAACATTACCAGAAAATTAATACATTGATCAAAAGGCATTTTGGTCAATCCGTATTCGATAACCCAACTTTCTAGAGGTTAAGAGTTCCAATCTCACCAAAAGTAGAAACCGTGTGTGCGAATTTTATTTCATGTATATAAATATTTAATATAATATAAAAAAAGTAATTTACGTTTTTCGTCCTTGTAGTTTATTGAAAATTGTTATTTTCATTCCTTTTGTTACATTTGCTATTACGACTTAAATTTTATTTCTACTTTAATCCATGTGATTTACAATATATTATTACTTTAGTCCCTCGTGTTTAAAGGTGGTTATTAGACTCAAGGACGAAAAGAGCAATACATTGTAAACTATAGGGATAGATCTGCAATTTTTCACAAACCACAAAGATGATAAACGTAAAACAATTCTATTTTATTGAATACAGATAAATTAGGCTACATTCTATCAAGGTGAGCCCCTATAGCTCAGTGGTAGAGCGCCAGTCTTGTAAACTGGAGGTCTGTAGTTCGATCCTGCATGGGGGCATATTTTATTTTATTAAATTCATAAATACTTATTTATATTTTTAATTAAGTAATGTGGGGTGTTATAAAACACTTCAACCATAAAGTTGGTGTCTGATTGATTTGAGTTTGGACTTCAAATATCAAGAGTAACAAGTCTCAGTTTCAAATCCAATGAGAAATAAAGTTCTCTTGTGGCGACGGAGGATCAAATGTGTTGACTCCGGGTTACTCGTAAAACAGGTGGTCGTCCGGCGATTAGTCGGTTCAAATAACATATTGAATATCCAAGCTAATCAATATATATATATATATATATAATATGATTTATTTTCATATGAATTAAAAATTATAAACAATGTTTAAGGTTTTTCTTAAATTAAACAGTTTTTATGACAGTGTCAAAATTTATATCATATTAATAACAGTATTTTTTTAAAATTTATATACAATAAAATCAGGTATTCAACTAATAATAAAAAGATTCACATATTTACATTGCTACATTGGTGAACCATTGTAACGATGGATTGGTTTCACGTAAGACCGACATGTTTTTGTGAGACACGTGAAACCACTTTTTTACACTTGAAAATTTACAGCAAAATACTGTAAAGGTAAAAAAAATTGAATATTCACAGCAAAAACACTGTGAAGGTTACATTCACAACGTTTTGCTGTGCAGTTTTAAATATAAAAAAGTAATCTCACATAACTCATGTTTTACTATAAAGTTTTAAATATAAAATAGTAATCTCACAGTATTCGTTATTGGTTAAAGTATTGACCTGAAGTTATTAATTTAATTGAAGAGGATGAAGCAACGTATTTGGTGAGCATGGACCAATAAAAAACCAAGCATTTGTAATTAAATACTCGTACAATTCATCGCTAATCGATTGGTGTTTGTGGTGCTCAAGGAACTCAATTTGATGATAATTTAATGGAAAAAAGTTGTCTTTTTTAATCAGGTATGGTAATGGGATGGGGACCTTAATCCGCGTCCCCGTCCCTTATCCCCATCTTTATTCCCGTCCTCGTCTTCATTTGATCACATCCCCATCTCCGTCTTCAACAGGAAAACGGGGATTTTTTTCTTAATAGAAATAAATAATATATAATATAATTTATTAATTAAATAATATATATACGGGTACGGGGCGGGACGGAGAGTACAATACCCGTCTCCATCTCCATCCCCGGTTTGATCCAAACGGGAATCCCTGTCGCCGACCAGAACGGATAAACCAGGCTCCCCAACGGATCGGGACCGATTCCCATTGCTTATTTTTAATGCTATACCTTTGATTTTTCTTTTTGTTATAAATTGATCATTTAAAATTATTTAATTTAGATATGTGAACTTAAAATGGTCAACCATTTAATTCATATATAAAATTCCTACTAGCGCATTAAAAAAAATTGAAAACACAATTAAAATCAAGTTGTTACAAAATAAAAATAAAAAATCTGATTTTTAATGACTGAAATCCATATATGATCATATATAGAGTTATAATATACAAGTGATGCCAGATAAAATGAAAACGATAATTATCTTAAGTTGAATCTCGTAACGTTATTCAACTCATTGCACGTGAAAACATATACATCTATAATCAGTATTATTTAAAACTGATTAAATATATATATATATATATATATATATACTTGGGATCATATGAGACCAAGACTTTTTCGTGAGATCCGTAAGACCAATTCTCAACCATTGGATTAGATCTATAATCTCAACATTCATAATCATAAAATTGCCACGAGACTTCTCAGCAATTACAAAATTGACACCGTGCAACTTTAGACCATTAGATCATTAGCTTATAAAGTTGATCAATGAATATAAATTGGTCTCACGGGTCTTACGAAAAATATTTGGTCTCACGTGAACTCAACCCTATATATATATATATATATATATATAAAAAGTCTCTTATATATAGTAATAAAAATGAAAATATAGGGGATTTGTTGACTTTTTGGAAAGTGTTTGGCACATGACAACTTGCTTAATACTTGTGTTGAAGTATGTGTATAGTTTTATTTATTCCCACTATTTTGTGGCTTTTTGTCCCAAATGATATGATTATATAATGCTTCATTATAATAAAATGTCCCAATTTGTATGTAAATGTGGATATAAATTAACATATTAAAATATATGTTATATAAATTCAAAATATGTTTTATTATAAATTTTTAATCTGATTTTCAATCAAATACATTTAGAAAGCTAGAAATACATATAAAAAACATTTTTTTTGAAAAAAATCGAGCCGGTCCCGGCCCAGGTCTTGTTTTTGAATGAAAACCATAACCGACGGTCCCAAACATGTCTCAATCGGTCCCGGGCCAAACCCATTTGGCCATCTCTAATTTAGCCTACCCCTATAAAATAATTAAATAATAATCAATCTTTGTTATTACTTGTTTCTAGATACCAAATGAAAATAAGAAATGAAAAGGTAATTTTAGATACATAAGATAGGTTTTGGAACGTTGTATTTTATCATGAAAACAAACAATAAATCCAAATGTTTACGAGATATATAACCTTGAAAGTTAGTAGTAAAAATAATAAAAATGATTGCTAAGATGTTTAACTACATTCTACGGATAACCCTATGTTTCTTTCCTACTCATATAATTATTTCCAATAAGCTTTGTTATTCTCTAATTATTTCCGTCACTCCAATAAGCTTTGTTATTCTCTAATTATATAAATTAAATTAGTATTTGTCATTAATATAACATAATCCTCTTATTATACCATTATCATAACTCAGCCATAATGAACTCGACTCATCAAGAACTGAACTCATGATCCGTAAATATTCAAACTGAAAACAAATGTAACACGAAAACACCAAATATTTAATCAACTTCCCTCGAAAACTAAACATTTGATACATATTAAACAAGTCAATGATTGGTAAAGTGAAAAAAATAATCACCAATTATGATAATTCTATATACAGTTCTATCAAATTCATCGTTTTTACATATATCTTATATCTCTTTTTTCTCCCAAAAATAACAGAACCCATAACAAGATTCCATTCCATACGTTTTCATACCGAAACAGCACACAACGTAAAAATACACGGAACAAACCCAGTTTCATCACAATCTTAATTTAAACAGATGACTTGACATCGGACTTGCAAGATTCGAAACCACAACCTTCCACACCCTAATCTCTCCCTCAAAGCTTCCACTAAACACCTTTATTATGGATTCGGATCCGGATCCGGATCCTTGTGAATCCGAGTCCGCCACCAAGGATCGTACGGGTTGTCTATGCCCGTCTAAAACGGTCAAACAACAAAACTTCCCGTCAAACCCACGTTGCCAAATCCTGACCGTCCGATCAGCAGACCCACTGAATAATAGATCTGACACGTTGAGTAGACACAGGATAGCGTTACGGTGTCCCCTCAACGCACCCGTGACTGCCATATGATTTGCACTGTCTTCCTTCTCCCACACCAAAATCGATCGGTCACAGGCGCCGGAAAACAACACCGATCCGGCGTCGTTAATAGCAAGTGCGTTCACAGCTGACTTGTGCTTCTCCAACGTCGCAATCAACCCATGCTTATTCTCGCCGATTGGCTTTCCCCAAACTTTAATCCGGTGATCGGCGGATCCGGTGTAAATAGTGCCGTCGGCAGCCACTACGACGGCGTTGATTGCATCGTCGTGAGCTTTGATACTCTCGACACATCGGAAATTTGAAGTTTTCCAGATTTTCAAGTATTTGTCCCATGAAACGGAACACATTAGGTTATCGTTGATCACGGCTAGTCCGGTGACGGCGTCCTGGTGTTGGATCCATAACCGCCGTCGATGACGGCGGACATTGACGTAATTTTTGTGTAAAATTGATCGGAGCAACCGATCCTCTAACGTCGGGAGTGTCGCTGATTGTTTGTGCCGTTTGTTTTCCATTAATTTCCATACTCGGATCTTACTATCCTGATGAGACGTCAACACGTTTCCGTTTTGAAAAGTAACAGATTTCACGGAGCCTGACGACGAGTTGTTGACGGTGAGGGTTTCAAGTAGCGCGAACGTTGTGGTATTGAATACGTGAATGCGGTTGCCGGAGGCGGCGTAGAGAAGGTGGTTATGGACGGCAAGGAAATTGACATGGGCTGCCGGTGAGGGTTTAAGGGAGGTGAGATAGCCATGGGAGACGGTTAGGTTTAGGGTGTCAGGGGAGAATTTTTGGAGGGAGGGAACGGAGGGTAGAGTTTGAAGGGAGAGATTGCTATGGAGACTGCTGCCAGAACTGTAATTGTAACTGGTATCCAGTGACGGACTGGTGGCGGCGGTGGTTGCATCGGAGATGGTGCTGCTGGTTTCGTAGAATAGGAGTTTGGGTTGTGGTGGTTCAGAGTTTTCTTTTTGTGGTGTGGTGGTGGTGGTGCAGATGGTGGCGGAGCATGTGGATAGCAGCGATCGGAGTTTCATGTCGGCGGCGGCCGGAGAGAGGTGATGGTGATTTGAATAGAATAGTGCTGAAGATGAAAGGGGTGAGGAAGAGGAGGGAAACGATATATAGACCCTTGAGAATCTCACAAACGTGCAGATATTCTTCTTTTACCATTTTATTTTTTTACTTTTATTTTGTTAAAAGTAATTATTTTTTAATAAAAAATTGGAATATTTGACTCAATTATATAATAATATTCAAATTTAGGGAAAATTGCACCAAAATGAAACCAACTTTCACCTTATTCTTATTTTGGGGAACCAACTTTCAAAATTGTCATTTTGGGGAACCAATTTTTACTTGATTTTTATTTTGGGGAACCAACTTTCACCTGATTCCTATTTTGGGGAACCAACTTTCAAAATCGTCATTTTTGGGAACCAACTTGGACCTGATTCCTATTTTGGGGAACCAACTTTCAAAATCGTCATTTTGGGGAACCAACTTGGACCTGATTCCTATTTTAGGGAACCAGCTTTCAAAATCGTCATTTTGGGGAACCAACTTGCATCTGATTCCTATTTTAGGAAACCAACTTGCAAAATAATTATAGAAAAATAACTAAAATTCATTTCTTTTCAAAAATTAATGCAATAAAATCTATTTTTCATTTCAAATCTCGTTTTTTAAATTCAGATATCAAATTGAAGATTTTTTGAAAAAAATCTAAATTACCACGATAAAAATTGTTTTTTACTAATGCAATAAAAAAATCAATTTAATAGAAAAAATTAATTGATGCAATAAAAAATAAATATTAAATATCACATTCAAGATTTTTTTATCTAACCAATCTGTGTCAATATTAAAGTTTAAATCAAATTTGGCAAATCCAACCAAAAGTTTGATAGAGACCCTTAAATTATCTGTTACCTGTTCAACAGATCAATCAGACCCTTAAATAAACAAAAAGTTCGATAGAGACCACTAAATGACGATTTTAAAAGTTGGTTCCCCAAATTATGAATCAGGTGAAAGTTGGTTCCATTTTGGTGTAATTTTCCCATTTTTCTATAATTATTTTGCAAGTTAGTTCCCCAAAATAGGAATTAGGTGCAAGTTGGTTCCCCAAAATGACGATTTTGAAAGTTGGTTCCCCAAAATAGAAATCAGGTGAAAGTTGGTTCCCCAAAATGACGATTTTGAAAGTTCGTTCCCCAAAATAGGAATCAGGTGAAAGTTGGTTCCCCAAAATGACGATTTTGAAAGTTCGTTCCCCAAAATAGGAATCATGTGAAAGTTGGTTCCATTTTGGTGCAATTTTCCCTCAAATTTATAACTTTTAAATTATTATAAAAATAAAGAAAAAATAGTTAATAAAGTCTCTCCTCTTCACTTTATAGTTACCATTTTCGTTTGTTAGACGTCAATACTATACAGAGGAAATGGTTATTCAATTTTTATCTGTTAATTATACAAATTCAAAATATTTATAATTAGCATAAATATGGAAATTCCACCATATCGAACGTTTCTGATGTCCTAACACTCTTATTTTAATAGCGGGCCTTACCTGATGACTTTCTTGACAAACATTTCGTTGTTTCGTGTATATTCTTCGTCCCGTTTATATGAGTATGTTTAATAAATCATATGTTATGGGCAATAATTCGTTAGGGATCAATTGTGGACGAGATTTTTATCGACGAGACGTTAGGTCGACCTCCTCCTTTACTATGAGGGTATGGACCCCTACGAGTGAGAAAAATAGGAGTAAAGAGCCTTGGTGAACCATCATAATGCGAACACCTGTAAGTGTTGACATGTATCAGTTCTCTTATTTTTACAACATAAAAGAGTTTGATGAGTCACTAAATGAATTAAAACTTGCATCTGAATTTTAGCATTGAACACTGGGTATTAAAGTATCAAACATTTATATTATAATATCAAATCATAGGGTTGGGTTCCGATTACAAGGAGAGTGAAGGTGAAAAAAGTAAGAAATGATCTCCACATTTGGACGCACATTAAGATGAGATGCACCAGATCAATCTTCGTATCAAGCGTCATTCATGGGTAGATTTGAGATTAAAAGTGATCAATGGTCCAAGTCTCTTCTTACGCTTCTTACATTAACTCTTGTTCTCACACGATCTTGTGTCTCAAGTCATAATCAGACTGAAATGATGTAAGTAATAGGATAATTACGATAATTTAAGTATGCATACATGTGAAAACAAAAACTCTACATAAATATCTGAACTTTGTCTGTATGGTTCGAAAGATATTTATCAAAAATTAATAGTAAACCAAATTAGGTAAAACATAGAATCTTCATGTTTTTTAATTCCATCTGTAAAAAACAGGCTTTATTTTCAGATAATTTTCCTAGAAAACGAATTATTTGCTTTGTTGACTAAAATAAGTGTAGTTAATTCATCATTTTAGGTCCATTAATACCACATTTTGACCACAATTACTTTCTCATTTATGTTGATGTGTATTAACGATAAATATGTCTATAAATAATTCAAAAATAAATAATTTGATAAAATATTATATCAATCGTATCAAATTAAGTGTTCATGTTTTTATTTTAGGAAAAGTCTAAAAATATTTAATAGACTTTAGTGTTTGAAATGATTAAGTTATTGGACAATTTTTTAAACAAATGAGTTCTTCGATATTCCAAAATTTGTTAAATAATTTATTGCACTTTCTAAAACATGTTAGATACATTCTTATGAAATATACAACTGGTTAATATAGTAAAATAATGAAAAAGTCTGAAAAAAAACCCAATGAATTTAATATTTTGAACGAGTAAGTCTCTAAACATTTTTTAAACCAAAAAAAATTCTTACATCTGTAAAATAAAACAAATATACCAAAAAAGTAATTATATTGAAAAAGATTATTGATGTAATTTATTTTAATTAAAAATAAAATATATTATGTCAGTGATTTTTTTAAAATAAAAAATGATTAAAAAATATTACTAACTAAATTTATTTTAATTAAAAAAAATATATTTTGTATGTGATTTTTCAAATTGAAAAAATAAAAAAAGATTTAAAAAGAACTACCAATGAAATTTATTTTAATTAAAAATAAAATATATTTTACTGGTGATTTTTTTAATTAAAAAAATAAAAAAATTATTTGATTAAGTTAATGACAGATTAACGATCAAATTTAACTAAAAACACAATTAATTAATTTTTTTTTGAAGTATATAATACTTATATACGGTAAATGCAACAAATAAACTCACACACCCTCCTCATCTATGGTGAGGTTTGAACCCCTGACTTCCTACAGGCCAAGAGCTACGATACCGCTAGGCCAAAGGCCCTTTGGTACAATTAATTAAAATTCGTCATTAATCCATCGGTAAAATGATATTCCTGACAATATTCAAACACAATATTTCACACTTATTAACACATTATTGTGTTAGAGCGTTTGACGGTGATAATGCTAGCTATCAATTAGATACAAATAATTCATGCATATATATCAAAGAACACTAGCGACGAATTTTAATTTATCATATATTTAGTTATTTTATCGTGAATCTTCAGTTATTTAATCAAGTTATTTTCTATTTTTTTTAATTCGAAAAATCACCAACGGTATATATTTTATTTTTAATTAAAATAAATTTTATCAGTTATCATTTCCAAATCTTTTTTTTTAATATGAGATATCATATACGGAATATATTTTATTTTTAAACAAAATACATTTAATTAGTAATCCTTTTTAAATTATTTTTTATTTTTTTTAATTTGAAAATCACTAACATAGTATTTTTTATTTTTTATTTAAATAAATTTTATCAATAGTCTTTTTTAAATGTAAGTACTTTTTTTTGTAAATGTAAGTACTTTTTTGGTACATTTGTTTCATTTTATAGACATAAGTAATTTTTTGGTTCAAAAAGTTTATGACTTAATTATTCAAAATATGAAAGTTTATTGGTTTTTTCCCTGTTATCAAGGATAAAAGTGTCATTTAATTATTTAAAAAGTGTAATAATTATGCATTTTACAATTGTGTGTCGTTTTTATTGTGGACATTTATTTTACGACTAAAATTCTATTTAGTTATAAAAGAAACGAATATTACCAAAATACCTACTTATGTCAAAAATATCAAAAAGACATTTATGATTTTTATAGAAAGACAAGAACATGACCACAAAAACAAGAAAAATGTAGAGAACCCTTTGGAATTAGATGCTTTCAAATCAAATCTTGATTTGCAATTTTTGAAATATTATTTTGGTTGATATTCGAGAAATTTAATAAATACAGTCTTAAATGACTAAATACTGTAAAAAATAAAAAGAACTGTAACTTTGAATTAATTACTGATATTATGTACAGGTAATTCCACTTCGACTAGAGCATAGTTTCTTGCACATCGACATTCCAAGAACTGGTTATTTATTATCGACCCATGAAAGGTACATCGAATTTTGAAGGCACCGTGTTTCCATACGCATACAGTTCATGATATATTTTTAATTATGTTGTCGGTATATATTCCCGGGTTTATTTGTCGTGTTTATTTTGTTTGATCGGCTATTTTACGATATTTGAGTTAAAATCAAGTATAGTATGGGTTGTATACGTTATTTTGGCTCTTTATCTTTCGATGGTTGTAGAATTGGAGGTAGTTTTCAAGAATAAAAGCGTATTTCGGCATATAGAATATCAATCTTGTAGTTTGGCCTTGTCAATGCCGTCTTGGATCAATTAATATTACTAATGACCTGATAATTGTTCCAATGAAAACAACAGTATTTCTTTCAAATAAAGTATTAATTAGATATTATGTGAGCTTATTAATATAAATACGTCTTTTAACTCTAACAAATTTGATTGATTATATAACATGTAAAAAAAACCACCATACTGTCATTATAAACCTGTTCCAAAAAAAACTACTGATTATTTTTAAGATTCAGAAAATTCTGTTAAACAATACAACCTTTTTCATTTTATTTTAGTTGTTAAATGAATACAAA